AAAAAAAAAAAAAAGAATCTCAGGTGTAGCTCAGTGGTAGGAGAGCTTGCCTAGTAAGGTCCTGAGTTCCATCCTAGCACTGCAAAAAAGAAAAAAGAGAGAGAGAGAAAACAAAAAATGTGTATTTCTTAGAAATGATTTATAGTGATTTCACATTTTTACTTGCTCACTGTAACACTGATACAAATATCTGTGATAGCTGGGCATGGTGACTCACACCTGTAATCCCAACACTTGGGAGGCTGAGGCAGGAGGATTACTGTGAATTTGTGGTCAGCCTGGGCTACACAGTGAGTTCAAGGCCAGCCCTGAACTATGTAGTGAGACTCTGTCCAAAAAAAAAAATCTGTGTTAAAAGAGCCTTATCAGAAAACCTGTGTTAGAGGGATTACGTTGATTTTTCCTGAATGTTCTGACACTGAGGCTGCTGGGAACATGGCGGGGACAGAATAAGCAGACCACTGGAGGGACTGCTGCCACTGCTGCCACTGCTGGAAACCTCTGGAAGGGCGTGTCCTCGGCACTGACTCCCAGGGCCAGGGCTGCGATGGAAGGAGGAGGCACTTGGACTGCAGAATTTTAGGGGGCGCTGACTCTCGTGCCGTGGAGTGCCACCCCTGAGGATGAGGACCTCTTTGCTCCCCTGGCACCACCAGGACCTGCTTAAAACAAGTGGAACCAAATCCCACGCAGCTTCCCTCAACCCCCTCAATTCCTCTGCCACCTTTGGGGGCAGCGTAATGTAGTCCTGAACAGCTGGATTTTAAATTCCACTTCGGCAGTTGCACCCAAATAAATTCTCATAGGAAACTGAAAATAATTATACTAGATGAGATAAATATCTTCTTAGTACTATATATTATCTTGGATGCTACCATTTGAAAACTAATATATTTTTGTGATTTGAAAAAATATATTATGCACTTAACACTTAAACAAGTAATCCAAGCATATATGTATTTTTTTAAAGAACTATAACAATATACTATTATAATATTCATGCTTATTAAACTGGATTTACCTTGATAAATCATTAAGGAGGAAAAAAAAATCATGGGTGGAGACTGTAGCTAAGTAGTAGAGCGCTTGCTTGCCTAGCACAGGTGCGGCTCTAGCTCTGATCCTAGCACTTCTGTCAGAAGTGCTTAGGCCTTTGGGTTTCAAAACATTTTTTGTTGTTGTTCAGATTAGGAAGCCAGTGTGATAATATCTGCTACCTGTATCCTTCATTAGAATGGAAATGAAAGACCGTTTCCAATTATTTGTAGATGGTTAAAAAAATGAAAACAGCAAAGTGAATTGAAGCTAAAGTCTCTCTATAATTTAGAAATATAAATAGATCCAGAAAATAGAAGTCGAATACAAAAAATGATAAAAAGGGGCTAGGGATGTAGCTCAGTGGTAGAGCTTGAGTAGCAGACACAAGGCCCTGGATTCCATCCCCACCATTGAAAAAAGAAACAAAGACTAAAAGAGAAAGTCATAGTTACCAGCCTTTTCTACTCACAGGAAACCTGAGTAATATCTTGGGAGAAGCAACAATGAGGGGTTTTCTGAAGTCCCGCACCATCTGTCTTCTAAGCAAGTGGAAATACTGTGCAGGAGTTGTCGGGTGCACCACAAACATGTTCACAGTGTCCCCGTCCACCCCCTCTTCTGCACTGTCACACATCTGGGGGAGAAAGGAGAGGAGCATTCAGATCATTTATTTCAATCATAAAGACTACACGCTGGCCAGGGGGAAATGCATGTGCCCTCCCTGAGTGAAAGATACTTCTCTCCATTAAAAATACCAGGGGATAAATTCATGACCCGTGAAGTATTCATCAAAGGAGCACTCCAGAGGCTCTGTCCATTGATCCAGTTCTGTGCTGTCTAACACAGCTGTGCCCAGAGAGAACTGAGAGCAAAAATCCTCTGGGTGGACATTTTTAAAAAATACAGATTCTGGTTTCTGCGGGGCTAAGATGGTAGAAGAAGCACTAACAGAATCTCACTCTCCTTCATGAAATAAGCAAAACTATTGTCTGTGTGTGTGTGGGTATTAGGACAATATCAAAATGAAAAGCAGCTAGAAACAAGGTTAAAAAGTTAGGATCAAGAAAATTAAAGCTCAGAAGGGAAGGAAGGAGAAGAGGAAGTAAAAAGAATTAAGATATGTGTACTTTGAAGCAATACTCAAGTGAAATAAATAGGACACATGTGTAAATACCAAATAGTTTCTCTGGTCTGAGAAACTGAAAGTGTAAATAAGGACTAAAAGGTATAATAGATAATGTGAAATTGGAAGAAAAGGGGCAAAGTGGAAGGGGAAGTGGGAGGGGTAGGGGAAAGGAAAGACGGGAATGGAATTAATATGAGGAAATGGAGAAATGGAATCAAAGTCTTTGTAAATAGGGAGGAATGGAGGGGTTGCAGGGAGGGCAGGGGAAGGGGGAAAAATAAGAACCAAGAGAGATTATGTAAAGGTGCAAATTTCCAATGATGACTGTCATATTGTATACCTAAAATGTACCAATAAACTTAATTTTTAAAAAAATATGTTATGTGCATGTACCAACTCCCCACAGTGAATGCAATCATTAATTACTGCAAACATGTACTAGTAAAATTTTTTTAAATTTAAAAAAAAGAAAATTAATTCTCAGAAGATCTTGGTGTGATAGAAAACTGAAAATATGGCTCCTATCCCTCCTCAAAAAGCCATGGAGAGAAAGAAACTGACTTGACAAAAATCATAAGCATTCTAGCTCATCCACTACAATTGAAACAGGGGGGATGAGAGGGCAACCTGGGGAGATGAAGGCAAGCTTTTCCGGAGTAGAAGGCGCTCCAGAGCTTACGTGAAGTGTCACGTCCCGGAAGCCAGGGGGAGCGCTGCTCCCTGCTGACTGGAGAGCAGCCCTGCAGGGAGGGTGCTCCTGAGAATAGGAGTGGGAACAACCTGGCCGTGAGGCCCCCAGGGCGGCAGAGCTCGCCCCTTCCACTGGAGCCTGACTCAACTGTTGTTCCAAGAAGCGGAAGTTGGTACCAACTGGGCAAATGTCTAAGGGGCTCACACACGCCCTATCTGAGCAGCTAGCAAGCCTCTGAAATGACAGAGCAACGATGGAAACATCACACAACCAGATAATTAGGCAGGGGGAGGGACGAGGAAAGGAATGAAGCATGCAAAAGACAGTTTGAAAGAACTAGACAAGAAAGGAAAGCATAATGCTAAGAAAATAAAGTGAGAGCCCAAATCTACCATTACAGATCTGACAAATAAGAAACATCAAGCACAGAACTGACAAGACTAGGACTACTTCATAACTATAGTATCTGAGGAATTATGTGGAGGGATGTCATTTCAGGGTTGTTGACAAGTTAAGATTAGGGTCTCAAAATGAATCCATTTACCTAGAAATATCTCAAGTTTATCCTTCCTATGGCTGAGAAGTACTTCTGACACAGATGTGCCTGTATACAGGAGAGACTCTGACCAACTTGAGTTACAATCAGCCTCAGGAATGAACTGAGTTTAGAACAACAACCACCAACTATTTAAAATCTTTAAGCTAAATAATGGAAGCAGCCTATGAGCCTATCAATGATGAATGGATAAAGAAAGTGCTGTATATATATACAATGGAATACTGCTCAGCCATAAGAAGATAAATATGTGTCATTTTCAAGAAATGAACATGCCTTGAGACCACAGTGTTAAGTGAAATAAATCAGAAACAGGTCAAATATTGTATGGTCCATCTTATATGAAAATATAAATAATTCATCGAATAAAATTTTAAAAATGATAGCAAATTTGGAGGTGGACTGTAAAGAGATGGGAAGACCATCTGGGGATAGAGAGGGACGAAAGAGTGGAAAGGTGAAGAAGAAGTAAAAATGAGTAAGATGTAAAATGTGTATTTACCAGTTCCCCAGGATGGATATATTATTATGTATCAAAAACATACACCAATAAAATAAAATAAAATAAAACAAAAACTGACAAGACTAAAAATACTGTAAACAGCATGAAGAAAAAGCTTGATATAATCACAGTGAAAGCAGAAGAAATAAGCAAGCACTTATATAAACAGCAAAGACTCTTCTTAACACTTGTAATCCTTTTGCAGGGCTAAAAATAAAATTAATGATGTAAACAAAGGGCTTGAGATAATCACAGTGAAAGCAGATGAAATGGTAATTAAAATAAGCAGCAAATACAAAAACGTCAGCTGTTGTTCTAAACAGTTTACACACACTGACTACGCCTCACAGCAATCCTCACATGGTCTTGGTCATTTTCATATATACAGAGTCCGCCAAGAAAGAATGCAGGCACACTTCAGGAAAACAAAAATAATACAATGTGTTTTTTGTTTTTGGTACCGGGGATCGAACTTAAGACCTTGTGCTTTCAAGGAAGGCTAAATCCCTGAACCTATGATGTGTTTTAAATAGATGGTGTCACCTTCATATGGGGGACCCTAGAGGATATCATACATCACAGAAAGCCCCCTACGCTGCTGGCCCTGTTCTTCTTTTATATTGCTCAGACAACAATACTCCGTAAGTGGGTCTTCCACATCCAGAACTGCGCTAACTCTCAAGGTAAGCGCGAATTCATTAACCAGCACAATGACCAAGTCACCCGAGCAGCAGTTCCCATACTAACGAATGTCTGCAAGCTCAGGGCCACCATGCTGAGCACCTCTTGGAGTTGTAGAGGCCAAGGTAACTTGGATGAATCTCATGATGTCTCAATAAATTTAATATTAAAAATATTTATACACGCTTTTCCTTTTTCTGAAGTGTGTATCCACTTTTTTGGGCAGACTCTGTACATAGATGATCCTTTTAACACCCTGGCTTCTTTGGTTCCTTTAACTCATGTCCTCCAACAACTTTATCGTCCATTCTACCTGAACAACCCATTCCCTCAATGTCTTAAATCTGTCCAGGGAGCTATAAGAAAATACCACGAACTAGGTAACTAATAAACAACAGAAATTTATTTCTTAAAGTTTGGGAGGCTGGGAAGTCCGAGGTCGAGGCGCCAGCAGGTTTGGTGTCTGGTGAGGGCCCATTCCGATTTGTGCCTGGTTCCTTCTCACTGTGCCCTCGTGAGGTGCAAGGCCGGAGCTGATGCTGTGGGCCCTTTTCACAAGGCACTAATCCCAGTCGTAAGGCTGTACTCTCGTGACTCAGTCACTTCCCAAAGCCCTATCTTTTTTTTTTTTGTACCAGGGATCGAACTCAGGTCCTTGCGCTTGCGGGGCAGGCGGGGGCAGGTGGGCGTTGGAACCACTGAGCTAAATCCCCGGCCCCATCCCTGTGTTCTAGTACTGTCACCCTGGGGGTTAGGGTTTCAGCATACAAATACTGGGGGAAGAGGAACATTCGAATGATAGATAGCACAAGGTCACATCGCTGTTACAGTCAGTACAGGACCCTCCATCAACTCCATTTTGCGCATGCCACTCCCTGACTGCCACTTCCTGTCTTTCTAGTTCTCTTCCCTTAATGCGTGTCCTCCACCAATCCTTCAAGCTCATGTAGACCTCCAACCTGCTGATCCTATGACCTTCTCACTGTCCAGCATCACTCTTCCCTTGTCTCTTCTCTCATCTTTACCTGGCTTAAATTCCAGTCAGTATTCATGATAATTCTTACCAAATTAGAACAATAGTTATTCCTGAGACAATATTTAAAATGTTTTAATGATCATGGACCATTTTATAAAAACACTATCATTACTTTTAAAAAAATACAGATTCCTATGTCCTACTCCTGAAAATCTGACGTGGGATTGGCCCCTGTATCTGTATGTCCATTTATGCAGAAAGCTCCTGAGGGGGTTCTAACGATCAGCTTGACGTGGGACCACTGCTTTGGCCCACATGGGAACCATTACTTAATTTTTAATTTTTGTGGTGCTGGAGATTGAACCATACATGAGAGACTTGTACATGCTAGGCAGGAGCTCCAAAACCCATTTCAATTGCCATGAAATTGTGCTACGATCATATCTGAGCCAAACAACTTTACACTAAATCTATTTTATTCAAACACTACAATTTCTTACAGTTTGAGGTGCACATGAACCAATCTACACTGTATGTAATTCCATTTGAAACCACCTGGGAGGCGGGAAAGCATTTCTGGGAGCCCAGAGACTTCCGACACACCTGCAAGAACCGCTCTATTCGGCAGGAGGAGTGGTCCGGGCCAGCCCCGTCGTAGCCATGGGGGAGGAGGACCACAATGCCACTCTGCAGGAGCCACTTGGCCTCTCCTAGAAAGCATGGGGAGAGGGTAAGAACTCTATGGAGCAGGAACCAAGCAGTCTGTTGGGAGCTGCAAAGTGAAACAAACATTATTTTGCTGCCTGAGCCTCCATAACTTCTTCATTCCATGCATCTGTCACACCACAGGGAGGGGGAACATATCCGTTTTGGAGGGTGCTAACCTAGGCTGGGGTTCAGTGGGTAGAAGACGAGGTGAATGTCTCACAGGTGAGTGTCCTGGCTCCCCACATGGCAGGAGCCACTGAGTCCCACTCAGCCACAACTCATAGCAAGCATGGGCAGCGCCTTGCTTCCTCACCACACCGACACCCAGGCCACCATCCTCCAATGGAGGGCAAGGGACACTGCAGAATCTTCTCTGGAAATGCCAAACGTCCAGGGGCCTCAGGTACTTTTCTTCCTCACAACGACAAAGTTTCAGAGAACCCCAACTATTGGAAAGACCTGAGGCGTAAATTCAAAACCTAATAGTGGAACCCCCAGAAAAGAGGGTCAGGCCACATGACGCTTACCACAGAGCCTCACTGGATCACGGTGGCCACTGGCTACTGGGCACCCCAAGACACACCAGGAATGGACACAGGAGTCAAACAGCCCAGGAGCTGGCAGACCTGGCCAGGCCTGTTCCCCAGTAGGCAGGAGGTACCCCCTGCACAGGTAAGACAGGCACCCTGCCTCCCGCTGACAGAGCCAGTGCATCTCAACAGCTCATCGCGTTGTCTGGGGCCGCTGTGTGCGAGGGGGCGGAGGATGGCACCCGGCTCTTTCTCCAGGCACTGTGGTGCACAGGGCTCTCAGGAGCAGCCACGGCTCTTTTCATTCATTTGTCCCCATGCGGCTGGAGCAGGGCATCCAACACCCAGCTACAGCGACACCAACCTCCAGAGATGAATGTGTCAAAGATGACCTGGGCTCCGTTGAAGAAATCACCAAACTGAGCCTCCCAGATGGGCAGCAACATCGGGCTCTCGATGCTCATCCCATATTCAAATCCCAGGACGGCCTCTTCGGACAGCGGGCTGTTGCTGACCTAGTTCCAAAGACGAGAATCAAAACTGCATGCCAGGGCACCCACGACAGGGGCCGCAGGGATAAGGCTTCACGCTGCTACCCAAGGCTGAAAGCCAGGAGGGGCGGGAGGGGATTTGCTTTCCTTCATCACTACATTCCCTGGAGAAGGACGTACTTACTGCTCAGAATCAGGGATGCGTTTGGGAAAAGGTGACACAGAGAGGTAAAGAAAAAGGTTAGATTATGAGGATTAAAGATTTTCTTCAAGGATAAGCAATATATTCAGATCATGCACCCTTGGAGCTGAGAGTAAGTCTATGCTACGCAAGCTCTTTGTATTTTTTTTTTTGGTCCCGGGGAGCGAACTCAGGTCCTTGCGCTTGCACAGCAGGCAGCGAAACCACTGAGCTAAATCCCCAGCTCTTTTTAAAATGTCATAAAACAAGGATGGAAAAGTTATAAAATGAATGCCTGCCTTTGGTTAGGATGCATTATTCTTTTTTTTTTTTTTTTTTTTTGGTACCGGGGATCAAACTCGGGGCACCGGAACCACTGAGCTAAATCCCCAGCCCAGGATGCATTATTCTAACATCATATTTGCATGATAAATCAAAAGAACCATCATGTTATTTTAAGATTAAAAAAGGCAGAATACAAAATTAATATCTGAGGAGGTTAAAGGAACAAGACAGTTAAATGCAACATGACGCTGCACTGGTAATGTGTGGCTTTTAATATCCTGATTTGGATGCCTGCTGAGTGACGGAAGAGAATGGCTTTTATTTTTTTTGTAAGAAATACGTACTATAGGGTATCAGGCTAGCAAGTTGCTTTCAAATGGTGTAAGGTGAGAAAGACTTCCTTTGTAGTATATACCAAATATTTAAAAATAATTTTGTGGGGGCCAGGGATTTGGCTCAGTGGTTCAGCTGCCTGCCTCGCAAGCGCAAGGTCCCGTGTTTGATCCCCGGTACCAAAAATAATAATAATAATAATTTTGTGTTTGCTTCAATTTCTTTAAAAAATTTTTAAAAGTTGCATATTTATAGAATATTTTGGCAATAAAAAGGAAATGAAGTATTGATACCTGCTACAATACGGATGTACCTTGAAAATATTATGCCAAGTGGAAAAACCAAGGCACGGAAGGCCCCACCTTACACCAGTCTATTTATCTGGAATGTCCGAAACAGGCATTTTAAGAGAACAAAAAGCAGACTGCTCAGGGGTCGCCAGGGACTGGGGGAGGCTGGACCGGCAGCAACTCCTCCTGGTCTGGGGTCTCCTCTCGCGGTGAAGGAAAAGTTCTGAAGTGAGACACTGGCGACGGTTGTGCAACTCTGTGACTCTACTAAAAACTGCTTCGTTGTAGACATTGAAAGGTTTCATTTTAAGGGTTATAACTCATAAAGCCTTTATTTTCAAAAACTCAGAGAAAATTATAGCTTTATTCACAACGATAAAAATTTGTAGCTGGGTGCAGTGGTGCACACCTGTCATCCCAGCACTTGGGAGGAAGAGGCAGGAGAATCGCCACAAGTTTGAGGCCAGCCTGGGCTACACAGTGAGTTCCAGGACAGCCTGAACTAATAAAGAGACCCTGTCATCAAAAACAAAAGTGACATATAGGTAAGAACAATGACACATGTAAAAAAACCAATGGATTATTTATTAGCATGGTGGGATAATGCATAATTTATCTTTTCAGACTCTCACGCCAGATATGATCTTATTTTAGTTTTTAAAAAGACCGCCACACTTCTCAGATTGCTGTGTGTGTTGTACCGAGGATTACAGCAGGCATGCAACTTCCACCCTGCAACTCCCCGCCCTGTCCTCTTGTCTCCCTCCCAAGGCTGGCATACTCATTCTGAATCCACCCTGCCTTCTGTGCTTCTGGGCCCGGCTCCATCACCTAAGTCCTCCTTTCTGAACTCCGCCTCATTGGTTCTCTCTGGTCGGTCTACAGTCAATCAAAAGCTTCAGAATAAAACAAGGAATGTTCATCCCCCTGACCTGGGCTCCCCCAGCCCATTGCTTTCTTCTCAGCCGAGCTTTTAGAAAGACTAATCTTCCTGCCCACCTGTCTTCACCTCTTGACTCCTGTTCACCTTTTCATTAAGGACAGATGCTGCTCAGCCTGTGACCTGCGGTAAGGTGAAAATACTGACAGTCACAACACATTTATGACCCCTCATCTGCAACCGTCCTAGCAGAGCAACCCAGTGCACTGCAGAGTCTTGGTTGTCTCTACTTCAGGAGGACTGTGCTTGATTAGAATCCATTACCCTAACATTCTTCCAACACGTCACTAGCCAAGGAAAAGAGCGAAAGTCAGCCTTCAAAGAATGGTTTCTACTGAATGTGTTATCACTTCTACACCACCGTAAAGTAGGACAATTCCAATCAAACCAGCCTAAGCCAGGGGCCTCTGCACAATCCAGATTTTACTCTTACTCCCTCCATGGAAACAGCTCAAGATGAGGTTCACCCTCCACTACCTAAGTGCAGCATGCATGCTATTCTTCTCTCAAACGACCCCTCCCTCCTTGGGTACAATGGCCCAGTGACTTCCATTTCTCCTCTTGCCTTTTGACATTCTTGTGAAATATTTTCCCTCTGCCTGGCCTTTCAAGTGCTGTTTGCGCCAGGACCCTACCTTTGGTCATCTTCTCATTCTGCTCTCAGAGAGCTTCTCCCACCCCTGCGGTTTCAGATACTTCTATACCCTGATTACTTGCACTCATAGCTTAGGGCCAGAATCAATACGCTGCTGAATGCAGATCTAACTGCCCGACATTAACATCTATGGCTCAAATGTCCAAAACAGACTCTACTGTCTTCTCTCGAAAGCTGCTCTTTGTCCTCAGTAATCTGAGTAGGTATCTTGATCATCCTCCAGGTGTCCACAGGAGGAGGCCAGCACGTAACCGACAGCAGTCTCTTTACTCCCCTACTCTAACACCCAGTCCTATCATCAAACCTGGCTCCTCTGCCCTCAGCAGCCTGGTTGAGACCCCAGTGATTTCCTCACAGAACACTGAGGAGCGTCCTTTCGTGGTGTCCTACTTTCTCATCCTTCTCAGGCTTCCAGAGCATTGCCGGGGTGTTCTCTATAAGAACACGCAAATCTGGTCTGTGGCCAACCACCCCGAATGTGCCCGGTCTCGTTTAATGCGGAAACCTGTCCACATGGTTCCTGCATGGTTCACGGTTCCTGCATGGACCCTCTCCATGTGATCTCGAGCCTTTCGCAACAGGGGCAGTCCTACGTGGCCATCCCTGCCTACCCCTGTGGCTACTTTCCATCTGAAGCCATCTGTAATTTCCTAAGCATGTCACATTCTCTCACCCCACAGAATTTATATGTCTTTGGGTCCAACTAGAATATTTCCCCGTATTTCTTAGACTAGACAACTACTAGTGACCGTCAATTCCCAGCTTAAGTGTGGCTTCTTCTCTTAAGCATTTCCTCAGGTCCCCAAGTGAGTGCAGCTGCTCCTCTTCCTATGAAAGTACAAGCTGTACTTTGTACATTTGTATAAATGTAGATGCCTCATTTTCCTGATTAATGAATTTATTTATTTATTCCTTAAAAAGTACTGAAAGTGGTTTATAAATATACCTAATACATGAGATGACAGTACAGATTTTAAGTGGCATGAAACAAGACAGATAAAGATCGAGACACAGAACAGGAGCTGGGGAAAGGCAGACCCCGAGGACCTACTCACTTATCACTGGTCCGCCTGACCTCCAGCCTTTCCTTGAAGCCACCATTAGTAAGAGAACGCAGGTCACCTACCGAATTCCGTGCAGCTAATGAAACCAAACCACTGCTCAGAAGAGTGTGACCCTTGCAATGCCAAGATCAAATGGGTTTCTCCCAGGGTCTTCATACAAACCCCATGGTATCAGACAATAAATGAAAATTTGTTGTTGTGTTGTTTGTTTTGGCAGTGCTGGGCATTCAACTGGTGGCCTCGTGTGTGCTAGGCAAGGGCTTTACCACTGAGCTACACTCGCAGCTCATGGGACATTTATTTTCCTACATATGACTCAAGTTTATGGCACCATAGTGCTCCACTGTGTATAAATAGTGGGAAAATGGATGTTCTTTGAGATCATAATATTAAGTGAAATAAATCAGACACATAAGTTTAAATATCTCATGTTTTCTTTTATATGAAAAATCCAAAATATAAATAAAGTGTAAAAGGAAAGATAAATAATAGGAAGTAGGGAGATAGATCTATTTCAAATGGGACCGGGATCAAAAGGTGGAGGAAGAAAGGAGGGAGGAGAAATAAAGAGGATGAAAAAAGAATTGAGATGTCTTTATGTACACGTGCCAACTCCACGTAAGGAATGAAATCATTATGTAATGCAAATGTGCTATTAGAAAAAACCCGAAAAAATTAAATACCAAACACAATGTTAAAAAAGAAATAGTGAACGTTGTCTCATATTGATATGAGACATTTAATCAGAGCTTTTAAAAAGCATGTTAATATTCAAAAGTGATTCTAAATATCAAATCACAATTCAGGGCAAGGCTCATGTAAGCTGGGGAGGACACTAGACACTTCACTTTCTCTCTAGCTCATCAATCTGGGTGGATTTTAGACTCACTACAGAAAAGCTGAGCTGCAGGTCCTTCAAGTAATCTTCCTGGAATACTGCTTTTTTGGGGGGGGGGTACTGGGGATCGAACTCGGGTCTTTGCGCTTGCGAGGCAGGCGACGGAACCACTGGGCTAAATCACCGGCCCTGGAATACTGCTTTTGCCACACACATTTTTTAGAAAATACCAGTAAACTCAAGATTTAGCAAATGGCTATTGTGGAAAAGAAGGTGCCATGCCATTAAATTTACTTTAAATAATAACTTATCTTTGTAAAGATCATGTGCTGAGTTCTACACCAATTGTTGGATAATCAAAAATAAAAAGATTCAGCTGCTGCCCTTAAGATGCTGAAGAGAACAGCAGAGACTGGCAGACAGAAATGCCCACGAAACCTTAGGGAAACAGGTTACCCGCAGCAAGTGTTGGTGTTTGTTTGTTTGAAGTAGACAAGGAATGCTAGCTTACTATTCACATCTTTGACTAACTATACAATACACAGATTATAATGTTAATTCTGAGTTGACAAAATGCACATCCATTTATATGAATGCAGGTAAGTGGTCAGATTAAAATAGCTCCAGTCTACTCTCTAGTCTGTTATTTCCATTCCACATTTATGGATTAACATCATCCACCCACTTGAACTGCTTTATTTCAAAAAATACTGAACTAAAAAAAAAATTGAACTCAAAGTGTCTGACATCCGTTTTTTGTTTTTTTAAGCAGCCTGTAAGTGTAGTAAGTGGTGACTGGATTTGACACTAGATTTGGAAAGAGCCTACCTCCAGAAACCCCTTCTGGTTAGGGTCCATGTGGTTCAGGGGGATGTAGGCATCGTCGGTCTCCTGGCAAACCACCATTGCGTGCCTTTGGCTGAAAGTCCCACGGCCAACATCTTGACCGCTCAGACGGACATTAAAACCTTAAGCAGCAAGCAAGGAAAAAAAAATCCAGATGCCTGTGAATAATCCAACTAACAATAAGACATGGTTAGCCTGAATTTATGTTTTTCAGACAAGATTTCACTCATCCTTGGAATTTCCTTAGAATAACAGATTCTCTTTATTAAAATAATCCTTTCTTATGTCAAAACGTCTACAATCAAGGCAAAACTGTGTAGAAATGGAGAGTCGTTACTTGCCCTATAATTTTTGGAGAGAGTATCTTTCTAACACACTGTACAGTGAGCCCGGTGTGTCCCAGGCATAACTGCTCTGCTGTCTGCACTCTGTGATGAACGCTGGCATGTGACTCACACTGTGATTCAGTGATGCTATCATGTGACACGTTTCTAGAACTTCTCTAGCCAATGCAAACAATGGGAAGGAAGAAGCTGTGACGCAGAGAATCTCAGAAGTCACACGTAACCAGTGCCATGAGCGCATTCTCTCTCGGCTGTCAGGCTAAAGAGGAACACCTTACCTTGAGCAAGTAAAGAGCCCAAGGCTAGGGCTTCTGCAGTGGCCCAGTCTAAATGTGTCCCGCTCATCACCTTCTCCATTCTGGACTGTAAAGCAGAAGGCAGGAGAAGAGAAATTTTTAAGCACCCACATCCTTTTTCACACGGAGCTCAAAAAACTTTAACATAACTATGGTGAGAATCAATAACACCAATGTGAATCAAAATAGTATGGATGGATACACAAGAGCACGAGAGCAACTACACAGAGTCTAAAACAGGCAGAGCCAGGGCTCACTGCAGCTCAGTGGTCACCTTCGTGGAGCTAAGAGGAGAGAGAATCAGGAGGGTACTGCAAACTTCACCTGGAGTATCTGATTTCTTAAGCTAGGTGGTGAGTGTAGTTTGTTATATGATTTCTACACCTCTAATAAAAACTTCAAGTGTTTTAAAAATAATTCAGAGGATAGAGCGCCTTTATCCAGGCTGAAAAAGATGAACATGCTTAACTCTTTGCTCTTCTGGTTTTAGTGCTCAAAGTGCTCTATTACAGAAAACCTTAAGTCCCAGGCCAACCAGGACAGCTTGTCAGCCTATACTTAGCAAAAGACGATACGCAAAACCTCAGCATGTTCAATGGTCTAAATGGTTACCTGTGGGGTACATGTGTTGATTTCTATGTCCTTTATTTAAGCTACCTGAAAGAATTAAAGTGTGTTCTATTTATGAGTTGGAAAAATTAAAGTAGACATTTCTGTATTTCTTTTTTATAATAGGCATGCATTTTAGGTACATATAATATATCAAACATTAAACAAATGCCTACATGGGAAAAAAGGCAAAATCTGAGTCAACTGACTCTCAGCATCGAGAGAAATCCTCAGATGAGTTCCTGGAATCTTAATAATAAACACTAGATCTTTGTCAAATGAATTAGCAACCATGAAGACCAGACCAGCATCAATCCCATTGCTGAGCAAAAGCAGAAAGCAGCAGCGGGTGGCGTCAGGGCCCTCACCTGAACATACATCTTGAGGAGGTTGCCGTGCACCTGCAGCTCCCTGGGCACCTCCACAGACCTGGCGCCGACGAAGCGCAGGAGGTCGAGGGCCACACCTGTGCTCCAGGTGGTGATGCGCGTGGCGGGCAGAGTCAGGCCCTGCCAGTGGGCCTGCAGGCTGGTGGCCGAGGGGCTGTAGTGGGCCGCCTTGGTCAAATGGTCGTTTAACTTGGCATAGTAGGAGGCTTTTATCTGAGACACCTCCTCCCGGGTCGTGAGTCCGCTGGCGATGAGGTGCTCTGCGTATGTGTCTGGGATGCTCTTTCGGGCTCTGGTCAAGAGAAGGGGGAAGAAAATCTGTACAATCTAAGGAGACGGAGGCGACCATTGTCAAGGGCACTGCAGGATGTTAGCGACTAAAAGGCACCTAGGAAATGTTCTGTGGCGGTGGTGGCTGCACAGTACCGTGCATGCACTAAACGCCTCTGAATTGTCCACTTTAATGGAGAAAAATGTACATTATGGCTTTCACCTCAATAAATTAACAAAATAATTAGGTAAATAAACAATTAAAGGCACGCATGAGTCTCAACTTCCTCCGGGCAAACAAGAGAAAATAAATTTACCGTTGTAAGCTTTTGTCTATATTTAGGTAAGAGTGGGCTTTTTCTATGAATTGCTAAATTTCAGAGAGCTATTTATATGACTGACCCACCTTACCTGTCCATAGAGAGCACCCTTTATTTCAAAAAGGGTGAGCCCTAAGCTCCCACCTTCAGATTCAGGCTGCTCTAGTCCTTTAACTGTAATAATGAGCATGTGGTTGAAAATATTACAAGTGTGCCTTTTACATTTGTATAATAATCCTTCAAAATATAAAATTTGTCAACATATTATCGTACTTCATCCAGATAAAACTGAAGGGCTGGACCGTTTCAATGGAACCGCTGAGCTCAGAGCTACGCCAACAGCAGCTTCAGGCCCCCCGAGCCACGCTGTCTGCTCCCTCCGAGCAGGAAGGCCTGCTGAGGGCCACCAAGTCCCTCCCTCTGCTTTAATTTACCGTCTATGAGGGCGAGAGTGTGTCTATATGGAGGTCTGTTTTACTCTGTAGTGTCTGGAAAGGGAAATGCCAAAGTTAAGCGTCCCTCTCGGCCACATTAACCACCTGCATCAACACTGTCCAACGAAAATAAGATGTGAGCCACATGTGTAATTTTAAATTTTCTGGGGCTGGGGATTTAGCTCAGTGGTTCCAGCGCCTGCCTCGAAAGCGCAAGGACCTGAGTTCGATCCCTGGTACCAAAAAAAATAATAAAATAAATTTTCTGGCAGTTACATCAAAAAAAATAAAGAGATGTAGGTGGATATAGTCTTAGCAATATATTTTAAGTCCATATATCTAAACTACTGTTATTTCAAGATCTAGTCAATATAGAAATTATGAATATTTTACATTTCTATTTCATCTGCTACGTCTTTGAAATCTGGTGTGTATGTTATATTTGCAGCACATTTCCACCGGCACTGGCCACATCTCAGGTGCTCAGTGGCCAGTTACTGTCTAGTGGTTGCTGTCCTGCACAGAAGAGTTCTAAACGTGCATTAGAATTTCCTGTGCTACTTCCTGCTAGGGACAAAGCAAGTCCACACTTAGGGTCTGGAGACGTGAACATAAAGATCCTGCTCCTGACCCTGCCGATGCCACACTAAGCAGCTAGATCTGCCTCTGCTCAGGAATTTGTTAAGTTGCCCGTTCTCTGTCCAATGAGGAAATATGGGGATTTTGAAGATGATGGAGAATGCCCCTGAGACCCACAGATGACTGCTATGCTTTAGATCCGGGGTGTTCCCCAAAGCCTCATGTATTTGGAAGGAAACTGGACTGTGGGCCAATGGACTCGTCCACTGAGGAGTTCACACCTGAGGAGATACTAGGAGGTGGGACCTGGTTGGAGGCTCCTGGGATGTGACCTGGAAGGGTGAGTCTCACTCCCCAGCTCCTCCCTTCTCTCTCTGCTTCCCAGACACGAGGGCACCAGCAGCTTTCCTCTGCCAGACACTTTCAGTATGCCCTGCCTGCCTTAGAGCCAGAACAACATGAACTGGAAGTGCTGAGCCAGAATACCCATCCCTTACGTTCTGGATGTTAGGTATTTTTCCCACAGAGAAGAAAGTGACTAAGGCAGATTTTGCTACTGGGACTGGGGTTATTGCCAGACAATACCTGACCACTTGGTTCAGAAGCCTTTGGAACAGGTTCATAGCAGAAGTCTAGAAAGGTTTGGAGATGCTAGCCAGAGAAGCCCTAAAATGCTGTAAGCTAAGCTTGATGGGGGATCCTGCTCAGAGCTCAGAAGACCAAAATGCCAACAGAAAACAGATGTGAAGACCACGCTCAGGAGATTGAGGTTAGGAACAAGAACTCCATTGCCAGGTGAACTCCAGGCCATGTGTGTTACACTCTAGCACAAAATTTGTCTACATTTTGCTCCTCTCCTGAGACTTTATGGGAGACTGAGATTAGGGGTAATGGACTAATGAATCTGGTAAAGGAAATCTCAAAGCAGCCCAGCATTCAGGCTGTAGCATGGGTATTGCTTGCTGCTTTGAGAAGATCTATAGTGAGAATCAGGACCAAAAAGCCCATTTAAAGTTTTCAGTTTTGCCAGAAAGGAAGCACCTGCAGAGTTGGAGCAAAGGACAGCGTGGTTGCTCAAATTAACATTAAATAGGAGCCAAGTCCTTTACATAAAGACAATACCAAAGATGGCTTGAAGGCACCTCAGGAATTGGGCAGACCCACTCTTTGTAGGCTCAAAGGTGCAAGAGTGGAAGACTCTGCTTTGAGAAGAGAGCCCCAAAGCATGGTGTTCCAGAATGACAGCCTAGGAAATTGGTTTCCTAGGATTCAGTTCACAGTGCTCGGCTATCCAGTCACTCAGAGCCCCTTGAAGCCATGATCCAAGGGGGCCTGTATACTTCTACTTTGGTGTCTTTCTCAGGGTGCTGGTTTTACAGACATCCAGAATGCCAGACTTATGGGGTCAGGAAGGTTTCCACTCAGATTTCAGAAGAAGGCCTGGGAGGCCAGGCAGGGTGCTCCTGAGAAGGCAATGTGTGAAGTGTGAGTGAAGCTGAAGGTGCAGTGGAGACCCCAGAAGGCTGGAGAAGCCAGGAATGTGAACCATCTGAGAAAAGCCACAGGCAGTAAGCAAAGCCACCCCAAGAGAGAGGCCATGAAGGCCACAACTACCAGCAGAGTCAGAGGGGTGGCTCTGGAGTTCACATCTCAAACCCAAACCCTCTGGAGTTCACATCTCATGACCACAGCTTGTCCCAGAGACTGGAGTTTAATGTTTGCCCTCCTGGGTTTTGGTCTTGCTTTGGTCTGATTCCTTTCTATCTCTTTATTGTTCTGGGAATGTTTATCTTGTGCCACTGTACGTGAGCAGTATTTAACTTTTAAAAATTATTTATTTATTTATTTGTTTGTTTGTTTATTTATTTATTTATTTATTGGTACCAGGGATTGAACTCGGGATCTTGTGCTTGCAAGGCAGGCGGCAGAACCACTGAGCTAAATCCCCAGCCCATTTAACTTTTTTAAAAAAAAACAGGGCTCATGGGTTAGAGTTTATGCTGAATCTCAGAGGAGACTTTGAGCTTGGGCTTTTCAGTAATACTAGAATGTTAAAACTTTGGCTACACTGAAAGGTAGACTAAATGTATTTTGCTTGAAGAAATGGACATGAGTCTTTTGGGGACCACAGGCAGAATGCTACGGTTTAGATCTAGGGGGTACCCCAACACTTCATGTATCTGAAAGATGTTTGGACCAAGGGGACAGTATATTCAACAGTGACTTCTGGTTAGGAGGTGGAGCCTGGTTAGAGGTGGTCCCCGAGAGTGTGTCCGGGAAGCGTGTATCTTCCTCTCTGACTCCTCCCTCTCTCTCTTCTTCCTGGCCGCCATGACATGAGCAGCTTTCCTCCACCAGACACTCCTAAATGCCCTTCTTGCCTTGCGCCAGCCAACCACGGACTGAAAACATTGACCCCAAATGAACCTCTCCCCCATTAAGCTCCCCATTAAGGTGTTTCATCCACCAAAGAGAAAGTGACTGAGACAGTTACCATCCCAGCTTGGCCAGGACCATGCCAGTTTAGCACTACAAGTCCCAAGTCCCATGTCCTAAGCAAACCAAGGCAGTAGTTCACCTACGTGACTATCTATTAAAAAATAATAGGGGTGGGGCTCTAGCTCAGGGGTACATCACTTGCCTAGCACACAAAGTCTTGTGTCCCATCTCCAGCACCAAAGTGTGTGTGTGTGTGTGTGTGTGTGTGTGTGTGTGTGTGTGTGTGGTCAGAGGGTATCTAACAAAGGTTTACGATTGTACCTGATGATTTTGTACATGACTGGGTTGGTGAAGAAAGGCTCATCCAGCTCATTATGGCCCCACTGCCTGTAGCACAGCAGATCAATGATCACATCCTTGCGGAACTGGCGCTGATATTCAAAAGCCAGCCGTGTGGCCCGGACCACTTCCTCTGGCCGATCTCCATTAACATGGACGATGGCACAGCCCACAAGCTTCCCTGAACAGGGACACAGGTATGAAGCAGCCCGGTTAACCCAGAATCAGCCATGTCCTACAGCCCATTTAGCTTGGCCTTTAACAACCCAAGCTTTGGGGTCCAGCTCACCAGTCTCAGCTCTGTCTCTTGCTGTGTGCCTGTGGTAAACTTAAGAACCTCAGTCTAGTCCTACCTCCTACCGACAGTCTCCAATGGACTAAAAAGTGTTAGTGCTTTACAATGCCTGGCACATGGTAGTTAATATTTATTTTCTTATTGCCATTGTTATCTTTCTTCCTGAGATAAAAGGGCATTAAAAGATCCATCCTAGAAAAAGATGGATTTTCTCCAAAGAGAAGTTCCAGAACGGATCCTCATTCTCTCTCTCAGACAAGTCACAAAAATATCACATAGACAACCCAAGGAAAAAAATCCATTCCATGCTCTGGGTATAAAAAGTGAGTAGTTCCTACCACCTAACAGTTCTTTTAACTCCTTGTAACTCTATAACATAGGAAGGAGTAGGAAAAACTCTACCTTTCTCTTATAACTGCTAATTTCCATAGGTTAAAACAAGTTGAGTTCAATTCTTCACATCTTGTTTCTGACCAGACTATTTCACCAAATTTAGTGCTCAAACGTGTCCTTTTTGCCTAATATCTTGGGGTCTTCAAGTCTGAATATTCAAAAGTACTTACTCCACTGTCGTACTAAGGGTGTTGCTCTCTGATTTCTACCAGATCCTTCAGCTAGCTACATAAGCATTTAAGACTGAACGCTCTTAGCTCCCACCTTTATCTGTTTCTTTGGCTCTTTAAAGAGAAATGCTGATTTTAATTAAACAGAATAAGGTGAATTCTAACCATCCATCATTGTTCAGCCTAAAAATTAGCAAAAAACTGTTGAAACAAGTCACAGCACTTTCCCTACGCCTTTCACGGCACCAGTTACCTCCCCACCAGAACATCTAATGAAAGGCTGAACATAAACATCTAAGTGTGAGTATTTTTTTAAAGTATATAAAGCCCCACCAACTTGTCAAAATTGTTCCTGATTCTACCAAGTAGGAAGGAAGAAGAGTAGAAAGGTGTTAAAACCATTATGACAGCATTTCTGAAATGTGGCTGCTCTGACCTCCTCTCCCCTTAGAAAAAGATATAGTGTGGAATAAGAGGACTTGAAGGTCTAAAGGAGGACTGAGCTTTTGTTGCAGAGGAATCTGCCGTCTCTTAGATGAGGGGACATGTGAGAAATGTGCTGCTGCCCTTGGCTGCCACGGTTTGTTGAGTCTAAGAAAGGATGAGGGATTGGGGTGCCAGACTTCCCGCATGGGGACGCCTGTGCCTTTGCAGCGGACACCTTTTAGAAACGGATGGGGCTTCCAGGCCAAGACCCCTCCCTCCTCCAGGCTGCTCATGTAGGGGAGAGGGAGAAAGATGTTGAGAAATCAAACTTGTCCACAAAACACACGGGCACTTATGTCATACAACTCAGCCCACCCCTCTCTGAGCTCCTTAGGGTTCCAGCACGGCTGGGAGGAAGGGTTTAGCTGAGAGTGGCCCCTGCCCTATCCCACTCAGAGAAATGACACCTAAGGTGCTAAAACCACAGTGCAGACAGCTCTCCAAGACTCAGGTTAATGCAGCAAAATTGTCCATCCTCCTTTTATTTCTTTGGATTCAAAAATTATTCTCAGGGCTGGGGATGTAGTGCAGTAGTAGAAAGCTTGCACGGCATGCACAAGGAAGGCCCTGGGTTCCATCCCCAGCACACAAACCAAATAAATACATAAATCCCACACTCAGACTTGACAAGAAATGTTAACTTTGCTCACATTTTTGATGACTACTGATCATATCTGACGCCAAATTACAAATGGGATGGGATAATCAGTGAGACTCACTGTTCTGCATGAGCCAGAACTTTCTCTAGGAATTTCGCGTTGGATCCAGGGACATCAGTGCCCGTGTTACATACCAATATCACTACAGTACAGAGAAGACCTTCCTCGTTCTGCCGGGGTGGTATAGCCCAGCTGGTTATTGACAATCAAATGGATGCTCCCACCAATTCTGAAATGTGGGAGATTAGACAGCGTAAATGTTTCGAGAACAATCCCTTGGCCACAGAAAGAAGCATCACCATGGACCTAAAATTCGAGTGAGGAGAGAAAAAGAAACATGGGATTAAGAAGTTTAGGTTTTCAGATTGGCATAAACTGTTTCACAATACTACTAGGAATACAAATAACCATCCTCTCCCTACTCCCTTGACTTCCTAAAGGTATTTAGGAGGGGCCTAGAATGGGTAAGCTTATCTCAAAGGCAGCCTCCAAAGCTCCTTTTCCTCCTGCAGCCACCACCAACTACAACACGCCTGTGCCCCAGGTCCTCAGCTGCACACAAAAGTCCGGTACCTACAGCAGCATCGCAGAAGGAGTGCTAGGAAACCTTGCAGGAAAACAGCCTGGTTCCCATGGCAACTGCACACAGGCGAAGTGACAACAAAGACAAGAAGGTGTGAGCAAAAAGTGAGACACACACAAGTGGAAAGAGGGTCTGAGGGAAAAGTAAGCATTATGAGAGATGTCTAAAACGTGCTGTCCTTCCAGAACTTTCTGCAATTCAGAAAATCACCACAAAATCCGGTATACAGCTGGTGGAGAAGGGGCAATCTTTTTTTTTCTAAATTCTAAAGCAAATAATGAGGGCATCACAGACCTTACAAGACCTTGGAAGAAAACAAGAGCTCTACTGACTTCATGCTAAAAGGGGATTGTCAAGTACAGCTAAAATGCTGAACTGAATAACATGATCTGCTCTCCCTAAGGCGAGGTAACCATTGGCTCTAAGAACAACAGCAGCGAAAGACCAAATGTGAATGAAGAAAAAAATGTCTGGAAGTAGGTTTTTTAAAAATGCCATAGGAAATGGCCTAAGCAGTGTCATTTTCATAGAAGTGAAGCGTTTTCGCTTAAGTTAATGAAGCACGGCTTCACTTCACCTTAGTGAAATTCCAGTCCACACCTTCCGAACCCATGTGTGGCATCTTAGAGTATCAACACTTGCTAAGAGCAGACCTTGTGCTACCTCCATTACTCCACTCAACACCGGGTGAGGGAACCTTTTTTACAGTAAATCCACACCTTTGTAGCCTTGTTCCGTGTATGCATACGGTGTAAATTCCTGGAGAGCCACAGTTTCGGAGAAGTAGCCACATCAGTCCTTTCATTTCTTTCCTAACTACCAGTGAAAGTGTGATCATGCCATCTGGGCAGGGGCACAAGTTAGCCCTCATGAGGAAAGATGACCCTGGCCTCCCTTCCCTCCACCTTCTCGCACCACTTCCTCTCCTTCGTTCTCTGGCCTCCCTTCCCCCTTATTGAACATCTGCTATGTGTTTTCATCTTTGTGCACCTGTGTGCAATGCGCACCATGGTCACTATACGAGAGGGCACCTCAGGAATGTGTTCTTTCCCAGCTCCGCTTCTGTCCGGCTTCCTCTGACTTACCCCTTTGGTTCATTGTATGTTTGTGATACGTAGTACTTGGCAGGGAATTAGTGCATACATGTCCTATCTTGATCATTTTCCACCCCTTTCCCCACCCCTCCTTACCTTCTATTCTCCTCCCTTCCTCTGATCCCTTCCCCCATCTCCAAAGAGCCTGGCTCCCTGATTCCTACCGTCTCCCCTTTATTTTACTCTTTAATTTATCTACATTTTGGGTTTCTTATATAAAAGGAATCATGTGATATTTAGCCTTCTGTGTCTGACTTATTTCACCTAACATGGTTTTAAGAGCCAATCATTTTCCTACAAATGATTCAAATTGATCCTTCTTTATTGCTGAATAAGACTCCACTGTGTATAGATATACCACATTCTCTACCCATTCATCTGCTGAAGGGCATCTAGAATGTTTCTACAGTTTAACTATTGCGGGTTGTGCTGCTATAAACATGGGTATGCATGTATCTCTCTAATAGGATGCCTTTAACTCTTCTGGGAAGATACTCAGGAGAGGTAGAAGTAGGTCCAGTGGAATTCCTATTTTAGTGCTTTGAGGACTCTCTATACTGATTTCCATAGTGACAGTTCTCATTCCCATAACAATGTAGAAGGGTCCCTTTTCCCCTATATCCTCAGGAGCATTTGTTGTTTTCTGAGTCTTTGATGATGGCCATTATGACAAGAGTAAAATGGAATCTCAGAGCTGTTTTGATTTGCATTTCCCTAATGGCTAGTAATGCTGAATATTTTTCAATGTACTTATTGGCCATTTGTACTTCTTCTTTTGAAAAGTGTCTGTTCATTTAATTTGGGTTTTTTTGGGTCATTTGCTTTTTGTGGTCTAATTTTTTTTATTTAAGACATCCCCTGTTCCTGGAGAGGCAGAATCAGTATCATCAACACGGCCACATTCCCAAAAGTGAAACAGACACAACACAATTCCTATCAAAACACCAACATTCTAGGGCCGGGGATTTAGCTCAGTGGTTCCGCCACCTGCCTCGAAAGCGCAAGCTCCTGAGTTCGATCCCCGGTACCAAAAAAAACCAAACCCCAACATTCTTCACAGAACTAGAAAAAATGATCCTAGAATTTATATGGAATGAGAAGAGACTCAAAATGGCCAAGCTATCCTGAGCAAAAAGAGCAAAGCTGGAGGCAGCACAATTCCAGATTGCAAGTCATACTATGAACCTATAATAACAAAACAGTACGGTACCAGCACAAACATAAAGAGGAAAAGACACAGAAACTACCCCGGGCACCTTCACCCATCCATCTTGACAAAGGGGCTGAACACATGGGCTGGAGAAAAGGCAGCCTCTTCAACCAGTGGTGCTGGGAAATGGGCTATCCACACGCAGAAGACTGAATCTAGACACGCATCTCATTCTGCACTAAAATCAAATCAAAATGGATTAAAGACCTAGATGTACAAACAGAAACACTGAAACTGCCGGAAGATGGAGCAGGGAAGACACTAGAAGTGATCAGCCTGGGCAAGGACTTCCTGAACGGAAGTCACAGGGCACAAGGAACTAACACCAAGAGTCAACACATGGGGTTACAGTGAACCGAAAAGCCTCGCACAGCAAAGTTCACACCTGTCCCTTCGAGGGGAGGCTAGGCAGCCCATACCCATCAGGTAACTCACACGGGCCTCCTTCTCCAAGTCCCAAGTACCTGCAGGCAGAGGACTCTGTCCCCGGGCCGAGCAGCGCCATCTGCGGAGTAGTCCCCGTCCTGCAGTGCCTGCTGCCGGCCCCGGGTTTTCCCGGCGGCCACGGGGTTCACAGCTTCCAGGTGTGAAGGATTAGGCAGCACTGTCACGTTCAGGGGACGGTGCGCCCCGAAATCCAGGTCCACGGAGGAGGTCAGGTGAGACAGGACGTCTCCAGTGGCCACGGAATGTTCCGGAAATTCACTTAAGCCGCGCATTTTACGGAACATGAGCTATTATAGATAAACACACAAGTAAAAGTGTCTTTTGTCACAATGCTGACTAGAGAAAAAGTAGCTTAAATAACACAATAAAAATAAATGCCATGTAAATCTTTTTGCAATTATTACAAACATGAATTATATAAAGATAGCCACAGACTTCTAATTGCTGGGTTTCTTTGAACTTTTAAGAAGTTTCGGAATCAAATGAAGTGCTAACATTTTAAAAGGGGTCTAATCTGAGACAAACAGCAAGTAATCTCTGCCTTGCAATAATTTAAACAACATTTTTGTTTTTGTTTTTGTTTTTTGAGACACGTTCTTCCTGTGTAGTTCAGGCTGGCCTTGAACTTACTATGTTCCCCAGGATGGCCTCCTGCCTCAGGCTCCTGAGTGCTAAGATCAGAGGTGTGCACTACCACACCCAGCATAAACAACTTTTTAAAAACACACCTGTCAGAATATATTTGCCCAAAGACCTCTGCATGAGTTTTGTTAAAGGCGGGGAGGACTGTAACAGGATGGAATGTATCTCGTGTAGAGAGAGGAGGACAGCAGGCTTCGCTCAGGGCAGATGTGAAGCCCGTGCCACCCAGTTCGCAAACTCTCTCTCTGCACCTCCTCCCACTCCTTTTTCAGTCTTCTAGACAAAGGTGTGACCCACTTCGAACATGAACAGATCAGTAAATTGTTAAAGGTCCTTTGCTAGTAAATAATGAAGCTGAGTCTCAAACCAAGCCATTTGGTAAAATCACCATGTTATTCTAGAGTACCCAAACTGTTTAATTCAAAACTTTCTTTAGTTTCCAAAAGCTTCTTATCAACCTGTCTACACATGGAATATATACACTCACACAGCGCGGGCACGTTTCTCACAAACATGAAAATTTGTAATTATTTCTGCATGTTTTATCTGGGAACTTTTAGGAATATAATTTTTGGTCTAAGAATTTCCACATTTCTTGAAATACATATCTCTCTATAATCTTTTTAGGGTTATATTCTGCCTTTTCCAAGGTATTTGTCTCTTAAAAGCTGATTATCAATGTATTAGAACAACTGAGGTATGAGTAAAAGTGATGACTTTGACGCACAGACTTGACGCTATGTGTGAATACGTGTGTGTGTGTGTGTGTGTGTGTGTTTGTGTGTGTGTGTGTTTTAAGGGACAGGGTCTTGCTATATTGCCCAGGCTGACCTTGAACTCCTGGACTCAAGCGATCCTTCTGCCTCAGTGTCCCAGAAAGCAGGGACTCTGACCTACCCACAACATCCTTCTAACACCACATACATTTCCAGGTCTCCAGGCGAATACATACATCACGCCAGGAGCTCTGCCCACTGCACCTAACTTTGGCAGACTTTTCAACATTTATACTTACTTTTAATCTCCTATCCTAGAACAGAAGTAACATTTGCCTAGCACAAAAATCTTTGCTCTTTTTTTGTTTTTTGGGTTTTTGGTACCGGGGATTGAAGTTGGGATCTTGTGCTTGCAAGACAGGTGATGGAACCACTGAGCTAAATCCCTGGCCCAAAAATCTTCATTCTTGATTCCAAATCTTTTGTGATTTTACAAAACAGTTGGTTAGACCAACAGGAATACCAAGATCCAATTCCTTATAGATACTGTGGGTCCCCCCATTTCCCTCTGCTGGGATTGAACCCAGGCCCTGCATGTGCTGGGCAAATGCCCCACCAATGAGGTATATCCACAGACACTGGGCGGTCTCTTGAGATAACTGCATTATTATTTTTAGTACAATCTATTAACATTACACTCGGCAAATAAAGGATCCACGGCTTCTTATAAGGTAAAACTGTATAAAATTGTGTAAATCTTTGTCATTTGAACAGCTGGTATTAAATAAGAAAAGCATGCTGCAAAAAACAGAATTTCGCTCTGTTTACATCATTCTTCAGGAAACAAAACAAACTTTAACTTCCCTGAGAGAAGAAATAATCTATATAAGAATGTACAGGAGAGCCGTGCCACACACCTGTAATCCCAGCACACGGGAGGCTGAGGCAGGAAGATCACTGAGAGTTCAAGGCCAGCCTGGGCTACATAGTGAGTTCAAGAGCAGCCTGAACTAAGTAGTGAGATCCTGTCTCCCCCCAAAAAAAGAATGTACAGGAAATTAATCCATTCTGTCTGCAGCATTAATTTCCTTACCTCCGGAGGCAGGTGAAGAAGGCCGGTCAGGAGGTTCAGCCTCCCGCGGTGCGGCATCCCAATGACCACGTCGGTCACCCCGCTGTCGGCGGACATCCTCAGCAGCTCGTGGAAGAAGCCCATCATGCTTTCTGCCCCTTCGCCTCCATATCGCTTCACCGTGGCAAACTTGGTGGCCAAAAAGTGGTCGAACTCCTGCGGGACATCGGGTTAGACACACCAGCCGGGAGAGGCCAGCTGCTGGGGAAAGGCAGCGGGTTTCTGTGCTGTGAGGGAGCCAGATCGCCGGGGGCCACTGGGGCCCTCACTAGGCGGTGTCCCCAGGAGACCCTGGCCAGCCTCGGCCCACGGTGCTGAGGCAGTAACCCTGCCGCAGGCCTGTGCAGAGAGCCTGGCCTGAGGTCCCCACAGCGTCAGCAGGGTGCGGTTTTGGCAGAGGGACCCAGAGCACCACGCCTCGAGGCTGCACGCTGTCCAACTGCCCACACCCGCACGGGCAGAAGAGCCTTCCCTCCTGCGCCCGGCACAACCTGGTTCCCATTCTGCACCGAGAGCGTCTTCCATGCATGCACAGTATTCTGACCACTGGGAAATACCAAGAAGCAAAATATTAAAGATTTCGTCTTTTTTTCCCCAATACTAGGCACTGAAGCAAGGGCCTTCACACTGAGCTACATCCCCAGGCCTTTTTTGTATTTTTAATTTTGAAACAGCATCTTGCTACATCTCTAAATTGCCTGGGCTGGGGTGGAACTTGTGATCTTCCTGCCCCAGCCTCCCAGAGTCTAGGACTGGAGGTGAGCACCACCACACCAGCAAAATGACTCGGACTCAGGGGAACCAGTCGTTCAAGTGACTGGCAGTCTGCTCTGTCCGTGCTTGGAATAAAGTGGTGTGTGTCACTCCGCCTGCTGGAGCAGTGAGGCGGGAGGGAGAGCCTAACCTCAGCGTCAATGCCTGAACGCCTTCATCAACCGCGGGAAATGAGTCGATCTATTCCACTGATACTGGCCGCTGCTTTTATACCTGAGATTCTAGCATTAGTTTGGACAGATGTTTTCGCTCTTCGGGGGTAAACGTCTCCTTCTTCAGCTCCTCAAACCGCCTGGCAAACCAGTCTTTCTCTGCCTGGCTCTGGAGCTGGGCAGTTTCGATAGCAATCGGCCCACAGTAGACTCGGTCGAGATAGACTAACACCTCCTCCAGAGAGGCCTCTTCCTTCCCCATGTCCAATAACCCTAGGAAGAAGCGGAGACATTGTTTTAAAGAATGGTCAGTGATGCCACACAGAATTCTGGAGCGCACCAAAACACTGTCGTCCCTTCAGCTCAGAGCACTTCACCGTTAATGACCCCAAGCACCAGCAACACTTAACTTAGATTTTCTCTCCCTCCTCCTCCCTCTCTCCTTCCCAGACTGAGGATGGGACTCAGGGCCTCTCTCATATAGCGAAAGTGCTGCACCTCTGAGCTTGACTCTCAGTCCTGTTTAAATTTCTTTCTAAAGGCAAAACTAAAAATATTGTCAAAGGCTATGAACTACTAAAACAAGGAGAGGAAAAAACACTTTTGTTCACAAAGACACGACCTTGCTGCTTTGTTCCAAGTTTTGATTCTATTGTAATTTCAAACTAGAATTTGAAGGCTGACAGGGTGTAGCTCAGTGACAGAGCTTTTGCCTAGTGTGTTGATCCTCAACAGTGTATGCCCTGGGTTTGATGCTCAGTACTACCCACAACAACAACAAAATAAAAAAATAAAAGCCAGGCATAGTGGTGCACTCTTGTAATCCCAGCTGCTTGGGAGGCTGGGGCAAGAGAATCATAAGTTCAAAAGCAGCCTAGCCAGCTTAGCAAGACTGCCTCAAAATTGTTTAAAACAAAAATGTTTAAGAGCTGGGATGCAGCTCAGTGGTAGAGCACTTGCCTAACAAGTATGAGGCTCTGGGTTCGATCCTCAGCCCCACCACCAAAAATAAAAAAAGAGATAATAATGATAACACAATTTAAAACCTACCATCCATTCGCCTTATAGCTACAACTCATATGTCCTGACTGAATCTGCCAAAATGTTCATCTCATTGATATCTATAATGCAATACGGAAATGCAGTATGTAATGAACAGTCCATCTTGATGTGAAGTTAAACATGGACTAATATTAATAACAAGGCAACATCTTAAAGTAAAGGAAATATTCTTGAATGTCAGCCAAAGAGAGAAGCAGTCTGTACGTGGCATTAGATCAGCACATCAGTTATTAGTTACTTGCTCACTCCTACAATTGCAGTTTAACAAAACATTTACTTTATGTTGCTAGTGGCTTCTTACAATCATGTGTTTAGATCTTTAATATCGGCTGACTCTTCAACTCACAAAAGTTGCTCTGCAGCCAGCAGTGGTGGCACATACCCGTAACCCCAGCACTCTGGGAGGCTGACGAAGGAGGATTGAAATTCGAGCCCAGCCTGGACTACAAAGCAACTTAGTGACTCCCTGTCTCAGAATAAAATACTTAAAGAAGAGCTGGGGATGTAGCTCAGTTGGAAGACCCTGGGTTCAATCTCCAGTAGAACAACAAAAAAAGAAAAAGCTTTGTGTGTTGTATAACCGCCTTCCGTTGTATTAAAGGACCCTAGTTAACAAGACAGACTCCATATTGCTGCTTGACCCACCTGCCTGCCCTTTAGATGAACTCAGAAGGAGGAAGCTAAGAAACCTCCTCCCCTTAGAGAGTCTCTTAGAAACAACAATTAATCAACTATTGTTTTACAAATGTTCTAACGGTAGGACGGTCCACTTCTGTACCTTTCGCTTGCTGTGCTAGTTCTATCCCATAGTGAGGCCTAGAAGCTGTTGGCCTCAAAGGTGTATAAAACATGTTTGTCTCCCCCAAGTCGGGGCTCGAGTCCCATGCTTGGCTCAGGTCCCAGCCAGTAATAAACTCCTGTGTGGATTTAATATTGGTCTCTGGTTGGTTCTTTCTCACTGGGTACAACAGTATAAGCTCACTTTTTAATCTGTAAAGTAGGGACAATCAAAGTACCTCAGGGAGCAAAGATTACGAAGACTAAACAAAGAAAGAACTCAAATGTCCATGGAGGGATGAAAGAATAAACAAACTGCTATAATAAACAAACTGGATAATAAAAGAGAACATTATCCAGCCACATGAGGAAGCGCTGATTCATGCCACAATCCAGGCTAACCTTGAAAACATTACACAGAGTAAAAGAAGCCAGACACAAAAGGCCACAAGATGCATGATCCCAATAACACGAAATGTCCACAGCAGGCAAGCCTACAGAGACGGGGAGCGGATTCGTGGTTGTCTGGTCCTGGGGGGCAGCAGATTGACACGTGACTGCTTAATGCGTACAGGGCTTCCTTCTGGGGTGACAACACGCTCTGGAACTGGACTCATGGTCACACGTGCACCAAAAACAGCGTGTGGCCAGGCATGCAGCTCGGGGATAAGTGCTTGCACCCTGTGGTTCCATCCGTAGCATCCCAGACAAATAAATAAGAAAGAGACTGGAGCCCAAGATCATGATCAGTGATCCAGGTCTAAGTCCTGTTTCTGTTTCTGACTTCCTGGGCCGGGAAAGAAAATCAGAGGAGGGCACAGGCTTTAGGATGGAAGCGAACGGGTGGTCGCCCCCAGCTGCCACTTGGCAGCCACAAGTTCCTCTGCGTCTACTTCCCCATCTGCAGGGCACAGGTGGCAACCATGTTTAGAGTGCCGTGAAAGTGACGGGATGTGCAGCAGGTGGCACGGAACCGGGGTTTGGTAAGTCCTGAATGCAGGGAAACAGGCCCGTTCAGACCCTTCCGGAACCTCGGACTGAACTGCCTCTGCAGTGAGTATGGAAGCCTCAGCCCGCCCGGCCGCCCGGCACCCCAGGTGGGCAGTCTCCTCCACACGCCCCCTTACCTGAGGTCCGGAAGGGGCCCTGCAGGCTAAGCACGAGGGCCTGGATTTCAGGGACGGTGTCCAGCGGGGCGCGTCCCGGGAAGAGGGGGTTGATCTCAGCGGCTTTATGGCCGTGCTCACAGTACGCTGTCACCAGCCTAGTGAGGCCATGGTCAGCTAAATCGAGGGAAAGAGACAGTGCAGTTGAGGAGATGTCCACAGACTACAAGAAACAGCTTTCAAAGATATTTCAGCCTTACAGTCTTCAACACGTATCTAGTACCCCCCTCTGCCAGTAGTTTTCAGATTAAAGACCATCAAGCTGGGGATTTAGCTCAGTGGTTCTGGCGCCTGCCTCGAAAGTGCAAGGTCCTCAGTTTGATCCCCGGGACCAAAAAAAAAAAACCATCAGAATTCAGTAAACACACCTATTTCCTTACATTTATCTCACGACAGCTATAGTCTGTGCACAAACACACACACACACACTAAAACAAATAAAGATGAATAAATATTACAAGGAAACACCCAGAATTGAAAATTACTGTTGAAATGCTGAGGTTGTATTTGCTGTCCTCTTTCTTTCCTTGCTATCGGACATACTTTTATACCTTACGTTAATAAACAGAAATAGGTACAACTACAAAATCAATGTTATATTGCCCTATTTCTTAAAGAATCCAGGTATAGTTGTTTTCATAAAACTGTAGATAAGCAAAAGACCGTAATTATTCTCCACTCACGTAATGAAAAGAAATCCTACCAGAAAGCCAAAGATGAGTGACTTTGCTCCCCCTTTGCCTGTCGATGAATCCAATTCTCTCCTAGACCTTTTTTTCTTTTTTCTTTTTCTTTTCGAGAGGCATAAAGAGGTTTGTAAGGCAGAATGTAAAATGTATACACATAGCAAAGTGAAGGCCCTCATGACAGGGGGATTATGGTTAGACTTGGGGGTATCCTAAAATGCGGGATCCAGGATATGTATTCTTAGTGTCTCAGAGCACTTTGTATTGGCCCAAAAGATATTTTTCCTCTCTTTTCCATATGAAAGTCTTAAAATTTGAAAGATCCTTCCTGCTCATACTCAATGAACTTTCAGTCTGTTACAGTATTCTTACACAAACTCACCACAAAACCATAAAAATCAACAGATCTACTACTGAGCAATTAAAAATTTGTGTATATTCAGAACCCCCCACAACTGTTAGCATATTTTAAAACTTCACCTATTTTATGAACAAACAGTGCTATGGAATTATTCTAGAGCCACATATGTGCTTGGGTTTGTATTCTATGTACTGCCAAAAATACCTCTTTGCTGGGCCAGGGATTTAGCTCAGTGGTTTCACCGCCTGCTGTGCAAGCACAAGGACCCGAGTTCAATCCCCGGTACCAAAAAAAAGAAAAATACCTCTTTGCTTATCACAGGATTAGCAAGGAGATGTATGGAATATGTATGGGACATGTTTGCCTCAATATAGCAGTTAGCTAGATCCATAATGTGTCAATATTCTCATAGTTATCTTTGGTTTACTTCCTACCCGAGTCATGGCTGCTCCACATGCCCCCCTGATGGACGGACATCTCTACCCTTGTATCTTTCAACTAAAATCCTTGTTTGCGTTGGAATAGATGGTCTTTATCTCAACCTGATAAAGACTATTTATGAAAGACCAACAGCCAACATCATACTAAATGGTCAAAAACCGAAAGCTTTCACACTAAAATCAGAAACAAGACAAGGATCTCCACTATCACCACTCCTGTTCAATACAGTTCTGGAAACATTAGCCACAGAAATTAGACAAGAGAAAGAAATAAAAGGAATAAAGATAGGAAAGGAAGAAGTTAAACTGTCATTATTTGCTGACGATATGATACTCTACACAGAAGACCCAAAAAACTCCAACAAAAGACTTCTAGACTTACTTGATAGATTCAGTAGAGTAGCTGGATACAAGGTCAACACTCAAAAAACAATAGCCTTCTTATACACAAACAGCAGACTCACTGAGAGAGAAATTAGGGAAACAATTCCTTTTACAATAGCACCCAAACAAATGAAATATCTAGGAATCAACAAAGGAAGCAAAAGACCTCTACATTGAAAACTACAGCACTTTGAAAAAAGATTGAAGAGGATATAAGAAACATCCCCTGCTCCTGGGTAGGAAGAACCAATATAGAGAAAATGGCCATACTTCCAAAACTTCTGTACAGATTCAATGCAATCCCAATTGAAATCCCAAAAGTATATTTCACAGAACTAGAGAAAACAATCCAAAAATTAATTTGGAACAAGAAGAGACCTAGAATAGCAAAAGCAATTCTAGGCAACAGAGACATAGCAGGGGGTATCACAATCCCCAACTTGAAATTATACTACAAAGCCACTGTGATAAAAACAGCATGGTACCTGCAAAGAAACAGACCCAAGGATCAGTGGAATAGATTAGAAGATGCAGAAATTGGGCTGGGGATTTAGCTCAGTGGTTCCACCACCTGCCTTGCAAGCGCAAGGTCCGGAGTTTGATCCCCGGTACCCCTAAAAAAAGATGCAGAAACAACTCCAGACATACTCAGACACCTCATCTTTGACAAAGGAGCCAAATATCCTCACTGGAGGAAAGACTGCCTCTTTAATAAATGGTGTTGGAAAAACTGGATTTGAACCTGCCAAAGATTAAAACTAGACCCCTATCTTTCACCATGCACTAAACTAAAATCAAAGTGGATCTAAATATTAAAACAGAAATACTCAACTTGCTGGAAGATAAGTTAGGTAGAACTCTTGAGGACATTGGCAGAGGGAAAGACTTTATAAACAAATCCTCAGTAGCATGGGAAGTAGCACAAAGAATAGGGCCAGGGATTTAGCTCAGTGGTTCCACCACCTGCCTCGCAAGTATGAGTTCCCAAGTTCGATCCCTAGTATCAAAAAAAAAAAAAATCAACAACTGGGATCTCATCTTATTAAAAAGCTTCTGCACTGCAAGAGAA